GTTAATCATGATTTAAGGAGTACAAGTGTTAAATAAATTGCTCAAAATAAAAGTATCAAATAACTAAGAAATTAACACAATATAATCATAGAAAGTTCAACCAAAACCTAAGGCATAAACTTTAGAAAGACATAATAAATATAAAATCAAAACTTGTGTAATAACTAAACAATAGAATCAAGTACAAAAGATAAAGAGTTTGGAAAGAAATGTAATCCTTGTCACATAAGTTCATCTCGTCCATCTTCATCTCCTTCTTCATCTTTGTCTACCTAATAAACAAGAAGGATAAACTCCTTCTTCATCTTTGTCTAACTAATAAACAAGAAAGATAAACTATCCTATGCCATACTAACCTAACACTAAGAAAATGTAAGAGCTACATTTTAGTAGTATTTCTTGTACTCTCTTTCCAAACTCTTCAAAATGAAGACACAAGCTCCTATTTATAGAGAAATCTTCAAGCTCTTCACTTGCATCTTCAATGTGAATACAACTCCAAATAACTCAATAATTTTGGCTCCAAATTATATCACTTCATTATGGAAGAAATGAGTCAACAATTATAGCTAGAATATCCCTTTTTACAACTACATATATTGTACAATTTGTCCTTCAAAAAGGTGAGAAAGAATGGAGGTGAAAATAAGTTGCACAAGTTGGAGTCACAAAGTTTGATCAGAATCCCTCCAAGCAATCCCTCCAAGTTTCAGCCGGATTCCTTGGAGGGATTCGTCCCCTATTTCACCAAAAATTCTATGCCTTGAATCCCTCCAAGCAATTCCTTCAAAAACTAGCCCGATTGTTCGGAGGGATTCGAGTCCACTTCCGTTTCGATAAATTTCTTTTTTTTCTTCTTCTAGCGACTCGAACCACTTTTGAAACTCATCATCCTTGCGAACTTTAGAATTTCAATCATCATATTGTAAGCCTATTTCTTGTCCAAAATGAAGTCCACTTTCAACTCCTACAAAAATAACCAAAAATATGCAAGTAAAAGGGACAAATTCTCATTTAAGTTTTGGATTGCACTTAGAACCAATTCTAACCAATATTGACCATTTTCTTCCTATAATATTGCCAAAGTGACAAAAAGTGGAATAAAAATCATCCAAATATAGCATAAAATAGTCATTTATCAGTAACGTTATGCTAAATAGTTCAGATTTTGGAGTTGCATGACAATATGTGGGTTTTTCATTTCATTACAAGTTTAGCTTACAAGAATTGCAGATAAATAGGCTATTCAACATCAAATTGTAATTAATAATTTTTCAATTTGTGCTTCACATGTTTTTTTAAAAAAATAACCCTAATCCAATACCAAATCCCAAGGTGAACACTAAATAAATGCGAACTTTTAATAAAATGCTAAAAAGTTATTAATAAAAATTGCAACTTTTTGAACAACCAAACAAGAAAGTTAGGTCCCCACTAGTAAACCCCACATTTAGGACCACCACCACATCATTTTGAGGACCCATACAACCAAAATATCAAACCCCACAAAAGCCTACCCATATTTAACAATAATTTCTACCCATCCAACCCCTAAGTAAGACAGATATTTCACTTTTAAAGATACAAAAGTGACATATATAAGCAAGGGCCGGATCAAAGTGTTCATTTTGCGGCCTAATTTTCCACTCCATTGTTGCTTCAATGATGATGACAGCCATATATTTTCATACCTAAAGTGCAAATCATGTCTTGCTCATCTCTGTTAACTAAGATCGTCAAAGAAATATGAAAAAGGGTGTTAGTTCAAGGGCTTAGTTTAGGGCGCTAGGTTTTAAGTATCTTTGTTCATTTTTTGCTTGCTTTTTGTTTGTGTGAGGACAAAAAGGCCCTTCTACAAAGCGTGGTGCCTATCTCATGATTGGTCTTTCCAGTTGCAAAACCGGATAAACTGACCAAAAAGAGCCACGAGTTCACTATTTTATCAGGTTGCGGGCTAAAAGTTGACTCTTAAAGTTGAAAGGCTAAATTTTACCTATATTAAAAGTTCAAGGGCCAAATAGATAATTTGTCCAACTCTATAAAGCATCGGGTTATTTGTAACCAACAATTACAATGATAGATTGTAGTTATTACTTTCTTTTACTAAGAAGTGTTATGTATATAACTAATTACTTCTCTTTGGTGTCAGGTTTAGGCCTCGAATTCTAAATGTGGCAGTTGGGATGGAAAGGGCGTAACGGAAAATATATATATGTGTGTGTGTGTGTGTATGCGTGTGCGTGTGTGTATACATATACACTAGTTGAGCTACCCTATGCTACGCATAGCCAATGCCCACTGAAAAGTATTCACCGTATCAATTGATCAAGTAATATATTCGTGGTAGTTGCAATCATATATTTTGGAAAAAGTAACAAAACATATAAGTGTTTTCATAATTTAGAGGTAACAACGTAGTTGATGTTTAATAATAAAAAGAAAAATTTGTATATTTTTTTCACGAAAAACATTTTTTTTGTCACCTTTTAGTAGTATAAAGGAAAATGTGCATAGTTAAAAAATATACCAATTTTGTTAAACTCTAAAAAGTATTTATTTTAAACTCTTTATTTTTTATAGTATAGAAACCATTCAATTATATATGAAAAATTAGTTTTTTATTTCTGTTAGCTTGGAATAGTATAGTCCTGTTATTTTTTTATTTTTTTATTTTGCATGAGGTTGCACTATTGAATTATATTGTGAAGAAAACAAATAATTAGAAGACTGGAAGCTCATTATTTGGAAATTTTCTTGGCTCATGGACATTATATGATAGAAATCTCTTTGATTTTCATCTCAAATAAGCTTGCCGCCTATATATCTAAAAATCAGGGACAATATCTAAAAAAATAATGGTCAAAGGTTTTAAACTCTAACAAAGTGTATCACAAAGTTAACAATCCAACAGTAACTATGAGGAGAACAATTGATAAATTCAAATCCAACAGCTCAAAATTGACAATAAAAAGGAATTCATTTAATAAAATAAAATAAAAATAAAAGAGTTTTGTTTCTCTTATACTTTTTTTGGAGCCATAGTATAAGTTTTGGTAGATTTGTTTCCTCTAAATCCCAAACAAATAGAAAAAACCTAAAATATAAATTCAAACGCATGATATAGTTATATTTACTTTCTAAATAAATAAGCTTGCATTTACACTTACTGTTTGTAGGCTTTTTCTTTGATTTTAATACCATAAAATAGATTGTTTAGATCATTTTCCATTTTTTTTCTTCATAGCAAGTGGCTAGACTACCCTTCTCTTACCATACTTCATATCATATCATTATTTCATGACCCAATTTTTGCAGCTCGTTTGGATTCTTATAATGGTAGAATAAATGTCAAGGCAGTAAAAGAAATGCAAACTTTACCTCCCATCATGCCACATGGTAGAAGGAGTTATAGTAGAACCAACTGATTCTTATATTATATACTAATTGAGATTGGTTGTGCTACGCACAGCAATTCCACCCTGCCTGGGCGAAAGCATTTAATTGCAATCATATTTTTGGAAAAATATAATAAATTGTTCATGCCCTTTTACTTTTACATTTATCGTATAAATAGTTTTATAATTTTGGAGTTGATAATATAGTCAGTGTTTAAAAGTAAAAAGAACAATGTGTATATCTATACATAAATGTTCTATTTTTGTTAGTTTTTAGTAGTCAAAATGAAAAATGTACATGGTTGTTTAAAATTTTTAACTATTTTATTAATTTTTGATGAAGTACTTAATGATTGTTAAGCTATGTATTTTTTATTGTATAAAACTATTCAATTATACGATGAATTTTTGCTGTTAATTTGGAATAATATATTCCTTTTTTTAATGAGGTTGCACTGTTGGATTATATTGTAAAGAAATGAAATAATCAGAAGGTTATAACTTTAATAGATTAATGCAGTCACATGAAGAAAAAAGATAAAATCATCAAAATGATTTTTTACTGTTTATTTATATATATATAGGTAATTGTAGAATTATTAAATTGTGAGTAATATATAAATTTATAAATTTGCTTTGTGCTAAAGTTTTTATAAGCTGGTAAAAAAATCTTTACATTTCTTGCTAGTGTTTTTGTATATATATGATAGTAGGAAATAAATTATCTTTAATTTTCCAGTGTTTTTTTTTCTCTAAATCCCAAACAGCAGGAAAATCTAAAAGAAAAAATAAAGCATAAAATCTCATAATGCTACACTCATATGATGACCAGCCTACGTGAGGAACTTTGCTGCCCATAGCCGAAGTCATTCTCATTACACTCCATGATCCAAAAATCATTCAAGCGTGCCACGTGGTAGCACTGTCGTTTGAAGGTAGAACAAAACATTGAAGTTCTCCTTCTAGCGTGCCACGTGGTAGCATCGGAGTAGCTACAGTAACAATGAATTGATTCTTATATTATAGTTACTAGCTTGGATCTAGCCGTGCTACGCACTGGCCTACCCACTGATAATTTTTGCTGTTTATTTAGTCCTTTTTTTTGTCCTATGCAAAATCCAGATAATTTTGTGGATATTGATAATATATCTGTGGATTTGATAGGCTAATTGTGTTTAAAAGAAAGAGATATAAAATATAGGGAAAAATGCACTTTTCATCCTCAAAGTTTGGGGGGTTGACCAATTTCATCCTCAAAGTTTAACCCCAAATACATTTCATCCTCAAAATTCCGTAATTTTGACCAATTAAGGACAATTGAAGGGAATTGGAGGACAAATCAAATATTGGGACGGAACTTTGCGCGTGAGAAGCACAATTCGTCAGATCCAACTTTATACCCAACATAACCGGGTCAAACCGAATGGAGCCACTTTTTCTAACGGACAAAAATGCACAAAATAGCAAAAGGAAAAAAACTCCTGTCTTCTCCGTTCTCAGCCCTAAAAATTTTTTTGGCCAATCGTTTCATCCACTTTTCAAGCATCTGCTGGCAAGAAGGAGGGCATAGACGGCATCCGTGGAGCATTTTAGGCAAAGAAAAAAATGACATTGTGGAAGAAAGAGCTTCACATTTGTCCACCCCCAAATTACGGTATTTATACCCAAAATCAACAACTACATTGCATAAAGATATGTGTTTTTTTGGAGAAGGAAACCTGATATGTGGTCCCTTGTGTTTGTACTTTTTCCCCATTACAATTTATGGCTATTTTTTTTTCCAGATCTGGCCATTTGCATGAGGTATAAATAAATCAAAAAATTTGTCTTGGTTTGATTATTATAGTGTGAATGTGGTCCCTTATGTCTGATGATAGTTGCCGCTTGACTATAAATTTGTGGTGAGAGTGATTAATAAACAATAATACTTGGCATATTTTGCTGGCCATGTGTATGGAAAAAGTGTTAAAGTGGTCCTTGTTTGGTAGTTTTTGTGTGGGTCAACAGTTTATTGTGCTGAAATGATGAAGTTTTTTTTTTTCCTGAAAAGTCTTATCTATATTATTTTCTTTAACCAGAAACGGGCAGCACATTTATTACATTAAGATGTCACCATGGAGGCCTCATTTCATATACTCCTGATCCCCATTACGAAGGTGGAGATTTGTGTGTTTTTTACTATGTTGAGAGTATAGGTCTAAGTGTTTTCGAAGTGGATAGATTAACTGAGAGTGCTGGTGTATATGGTCATAAGGTGTACTATGGTTGGGAAAATAACACCTTTAGAAGGATAGACAGCAGTAGGGAGTTGAATGGTTATGTTAAGGGGGAGGTTCGACCAACTAAGGAAGTTAACTTATATCTTGAAGTATCTTTTCATGAAATTCTAGTGCAACAACTTGGTTATGATCCGTATGAGATAGATGAGACAGAAAATGAACTCCAAAATGGTGATGGTAACAATAATATTAGGGATGAAGGTCAAGGAAGGTGTGCTGCTAATAATTGTGATAATGATTCTAACGCAAGTGATGAGATTTTTTTTTCAGCTATTGATTCAGATTATGAAATAGGTTATGATGCTGATGATGGTATATTTCATGATAATGTTGACAAAAATGCTAAATGGTTGGGAGTAGACAATCACAGGAAAGAAAATGTGGTTCCTGATCCTTTAATGAAACAGAGAAGGTTCCTGATTCTGATGAAACAGAACAGGTTCCTGATTCTGAATCTGATTTTGAAAGCATTCATGAGTCTGATGATGAAGAGTCTAAATTGAGGTCTCGTACTTTTGATCCTAAGCATACTGACAATCCAAAATTAGAGCTGTACATGTCCTTTACAAGTCTGAAACTTTTCAAGACTGCTGTACATAATTATAGTGTGAAACAAGGCAGGCCTTGTAAGTTTGTGAAACAAGATAGAGTGAGGGTGAGGGCTAGATGCAGAAATAGTGAATGTAATTGGGTTATATATGCTAGAAAATTAAGTGGGGATGGAACTATTCAAATAAGAATATTTGAAGATAATCACACATGTGATTTTACATATGATAACCCTCTTATGCATTCTGGATGGGTAGCTAAGAAGTACTGTGAAGAGTTTAGGTGTAATCCTAAATTAGATTTGGAGCATTTTAGGAAGACAGTAATGAAAGAAAATAGGTGCTCCTTTACAAAAAATCAAACATATAGGACAAGGAGAAAAGCAATGAAAATTGTTCAGGGCAGTGAAAAAGACCAGTACAGCAAATTAGGAGTTTATATGCATGAAATTCTAAGATCTAACCCTGGTAGCATTATTATAATGAAAACTGTTGATGGCTTTAGAGACTCAAAAACAGGGAAAGGCAGATTTGAGAGGCTGTACATCTGTTTTGCTGGAGTGAAGCATGGTTTCCTAACTGGATGTAGGCAATTAATTGGAGTAGATGGTACTTTTTTTAAAGGATCAGTAGGAGGAGTTTTGCTAGCAGCTGTTGGAGTTGATGCCAATAATGGCATTTTTCCAATAGCATATGCTGCAGCAGAGGGTGAAAGTAAGAACTCATGGTGCTGGTTCTTCAAACTATTGAAAGAAGATTTGAAAATTGAAAAGGATTATGAGTGGACAATAATGAGTGACAAACAAAAAGGTCTAATTGAAGCATGTGATATGATTTTTCCAAATGTAGCCCACAGATTTTGTGTGAAACACTTGCACAATAACTTGTATCTGCTGGTTTCAAAGGAGAAGGTTTGAGGAGAGCGTTATGGACTGTTGCCAAAGCAACAACACCAACCCAATTCATTAGCAGAATGGAAGCAATGGCTGAAATTGATATAGAGGCAGCCAAGTGATTTGATGACAAACCACCAAATCAATGGAGCAGAGCTTATTTTAGCACTCATCCTAAATGTGCTATGTTATTGAATAATATCTGTGAGTGTTTCAACAGCAAAATTCTTGATGCTAGGGAGAAGCCAATAATTGAAATGTTTGAAGCAATACGGCTGTACATGATGCAGAGAATGCAAAAAAATAGGGATCTGGCCAAAGAGAAGTGGCAGACTTATCCTTACTGCCCCAGAATTCTTCACATTATGCAGAAAAATATAGATAGAACACCTGACTGTTTTCCATTCAAGTCAAATGATGATCTTTATGAAGTCAGTTGCCCCTATGGTGACCAATATGCAGTGAACATCAAGGAGCATACATGCTCTTGCAGAAAATAGGAACTAACAGGTATTCCCTGTCCCCATGCCATTGTTGCATTGTGGATGGCTAGAAAGGATCATCTGCTATATGTTTCAAAATGGTATACAGTGGAGACATATATGAAGTGCTATGAAGGATCAATGTATCCCATGAATGGAGAAAGTGAATGGGGACTTACTGATGTTGGTTAAGGTCCTTTGCCACCCTTATATAGGAGAGCACCTGGAAGGCCTAAGAAGCTGAGAAAGAGAAGTGCAGAGGAGGTTCAACAAGCCAAGGAAAAAACTAAGAAGAAGGTGACAAGAGTGGGACAGATTAACAAGTGTAGATATTGTCATCAAAGGGGACATAATATGAGGTCCTGCAAGCTTCTCAAAGATGCTCAAGATCCTGCAGTTGCAAAAACTGATATTAGTTCAAGCCAAATTGCTGCTTCTACCAACAATCCAACTAGCCAAGATGAAAAAAAAGTTGTAAGTTGTTTTGATGACTTGTTACAGCTATCTTTGCTATTTGGTATATAAATGACATGTTTTCCTTTTAAACTGTAGGGAACAAAGAAAACCAAGAAGCCTGCTGCTGAGTCTTCAAATAAAAGGGTAGAAAAACTTGCTACATCTTTTGATTTTTGTCTTTATGCAATTTGACTTTTGCTACCTCACTGTTTTGTGCAGAAGAGACATAGACGTACAAGAAGAGTTGCAGCTGCAGTTTGTAATGATGATTCAAACACTGAACATCAACAGGATGATGAGTCACTGATTGAGATTGACATAACATCCTCTGCTCCAGATCAAGTAGACCAGGATATGTACAAAGTGTTTGGGTTGTCAAGGTCTCAAGTGAAATATAGCACCAAGGAAGCCAGAACACAAACTAAAGAACAAGTACAGATGCCCTTCAGGATTAGAGATGTTCATATGCATGTTGCTGCTGCTGCCAAGGCAGATTTAAGTGTTCCTAGTTCATCTAGATCGAAGGGAAAGGAGAAACTACTGTGATAGGAGAAACAACATGCTGAATTTTCTTCAAGCCAAGCTGCTTTTGTTCAAGCCAAGTTGTTGCTTTTGTAATTAGTGAATGACTTTTGTTGTTTCAACTTTTGCCTTGCCTAGTAATTATGGAAGTGCAGGCTGTAATGTGATAGCTGGCTTTATTTCATTTATGGACCCATGTTCAACAACAGTCATGTCGTTTGCTTTATTTCAATTGAATGCACTTTAATTGTATTGAATTTATGATATACATATATGGCAGCTGTTTTCATGTTCATCTGTTTGTATTATTTGCATTTATTTTCCAACTTGGTTTATCAGTACATGTGGGACAATCTTGGTTTATCAGCTTAGTTGCCAGCTTGGTTTATTTGCATTTGTTTTCCAGCGTGGTTTATTTGCATCTGTTTCTATTATCAATACATGTGGTTTATCAGTTCATGGCCATTTTATATATATGATATGAACAACACCTTGACAAGGACCATTTTCTTACACTCAACGCATAGCTTTGCAAACAAAATAAATTACAGAGTTCATAAATTGCATTTTTGCCAAATACATTTCCCTTCCTAAATCCCACCTTTTACATAAATTACAGAGTTCATTTGGAACCTTTGTACAAACAAAATAAGTCCCTTTCTATACCCTGCAATTGGATATTACTTCATAGGGAAAAATGCAACTCTCGTTCCAACAACAAACACAGCCAGCTTCAAAATGTTCTTCTACAATTTTAGCAAAATCACTCCAGTGTTAGCAGCAACTTGCCTCCCTTTACTTTTCCCTCGCCTTTACTGCTCCAACTCAGTACTAGCAAAACCACCAAAAGCACAATTATCGTAATAAAAAATTTCTCCCTCTTACGCATTCTTTCAACTTGTTCTTCCATTTTGTTAATCTTTTTCAGCAAACCAGGAATGAGAACTCTCCCTCTTGGACAAATTGGCTCATCAACCAATTCAAAGTACCTGCATCTCTCGGGTCTCTACCATAACAATAATGACATTTCTCAGAAATTAGTTAGCTAAATTAACACATTGAAGGACCAACATTTTTAGACAAATATTTCTTACCGGCCACAGAGAGCAACCAAGGAATCTTCTTCCCGGATTCTCGCCGCGCCAACAGGTGCTCATTTTTGTTCTTAACCCACAGTTGCATAATGGAGTTGATGAACCACTGGAGACTTCAGAACTTCTACTCCTCATTTAGGCAAAAATGAGAGCACAGGGAGCTCCACTGCCAGATGCTCTGAGGATGAAATGTTTAAGGCTGCAAAGATTGGAAAAAAAATTTTGGGGTTGAAAGGCAGAGGGAATAAGGACAACAATGGAGCTTTTCGTCCGTCCGTTGCATTTGGTCCTTTAAAGTTAGCTCCATTCAGTTTTACCCATTTTTTGTTAGGTAAAACCGTTGGTTGTAACTGTCAATTGGATATTTCCCGTCAATTGTCCTTAATTGGTCAAAATTACGGAACTTTGAGGATGAAATTGGTCAACCCCCCAAACTTTGAGGATGAAAAGTGCATTTTTCCCTAAAATATATTTAAAACAGCGGCAAAGATTATATAAACAAAATCATTCACTTTTGACAGTGTAAGCACAAATTTTGTTGCCTAAAATAAAAGACAAGAAAACTTGCACAAATATCAAATTTATTAAATCAAATAATAAGCGGGTTACAATCTCTGAAAGTTCTTGAATCAAAGAAATTAATCCCCTGATTCTTTTCTTCGAATAGCTTCAATTGAAGGGCTGAAAAGACTTGTTCTCCAATCGAAAGGGTGTTTCCTACAATTTCGACGTAGAAAACGATTGATTTGATGATGGCGTCAAACACTTGGAACTTCGAGTCTTCAACACCGATAGCAGGAGGATTTGTTTGACTTGATTTGGATTTGGATTTGAGGAAGAAAGCTCTTGAGGGAATTTGACAGAGTTTCTCCGAATGTTAGGGATTTTTCTATGTCTTTGCCTTGAGGGAAGACCTCTATTTATAGCCAAAATATGTAGGCTAGGTCTTCAAGAAAACCCTCAGAATCTTCCTGCATTTTGGACCACTTGTTACCCAAGAAATCCATTTAACTTGGGCTTAAATATTGGGCCAACCCAAATAGTCCACTGTGAATTAATAAAGCAATCAATTCACTCTAACTTAAATGGACACTATGAATTTAATTTGATTTAATAGCCCATATAATATTGGCCCAATTTGCCAGTCCAAAACATAATGGACTTCCATAATTTAATTTAATTTAGTCAAGATCGATTTAATTTAAATAAATCTTAACTAAAATGAATTAAATAAATTTTCTTTGTCTACAAATGCCCCCACTTCAAGGCTCAATTGAAGCTTGCTTGTCAAGGATTGCAATTGAGACTTGAAGTACTTGATTTTTTTTTTTTTTATATATAAAAGAAAGCCAATTCATTTGCCAATTTGAGCTTGGATCAATACATGCAATTCAAGATCATATTTATGATCAAAAGTCCCCACGGACCATGTGTCATATGAGGTCTATGGCGAGGTGCAATGCATAGGATCATTCCCTATACCATCACAATGAATTTTGTTGCTTCAATTGCAATTAGTCTCGGACATGTACTTGGGAATTGTCAAAACCAATTGTATTGCTCGAATTGCTGCTCTGTTGGTCTTTGGAATTCCATTGGAGACTAGTCCAAGTGACTACCATTAACTTAAAGCTGCAATACATTCAAACGTTCCAATCGGTTTTATTCCGACAAGAATGGTCCCATGTCCCTTGAAGACTTTGCTCCATAGACATTCTTCACCTGGAAGTTCCAATAGGCGCCATTAATTTAATTTCACTTTCAGCAACTTCAATGTAGCCTTATTTGCACTAGGAATCCTTCTATGACCATTGCACCGCCTAAACATTTAATAATCAAAGCATGGCTACCAATTTGTTCGGTGGAAACTTCCCATTCAATACTTATCATGAAACTTCCATTTTAGAGAGCCGAAACGTGGTGCAAAGATTAGGAAATGTCTTCACACTTTGGCACTCAAAATTACATGCGGCAGACTTGCTAAATCATATTGATAATCTCCAATTTGCATCTCAAGCTGCTGACTACCAAATCTTGTCTGTGGCACCTGGCAATATGGAATTTGCTAAGTTTCAACACTTCCTAAATCGCAAATGTATTCCCAAAACCAATGTTGGTAACTTCTGAATGCCGAATTTCGAGAGCTTCCCAAAGGGACTTCCAGCTTTTGAAATTATTCTTGGGAACCAAATTCATGTGATTCCAAAAAATTAAATGATAATCACTGAATTTAGTAGCTGCCCAAAACTTAAAACTTCCTAAACTGATTCATTTGAGCGCCTTGTAGAGCTCCACAAGACATTCTTTCTCTTTTTTTTTCTTGAAGCTGAGCAATTTGGAATTCCTTTGGCATTGCTTCTTTTGGAAATTGGATCCAAGTTGCTAAAATTCTCGTGGTGTGGCTTTGTACTCAAGTTGATTTGGGCATAGAATAATGATTCCCGTGGCTTCAACTTTTAAGGAATCATAAGACCACTTCCCTTTTGGCTTGCAGTTGATTCCATGAAACTAAGAAAACCACTTTCAATCATTTCCATCTTCCATGATGCAACAAACCAGTAATCGTCCAAATCGAGGCTTGTGAGGAAACGGTACCAAAACCCAAATTAGGCAATACAGGTTCAAACCATTTGATCTTTTGAAGTTGATATGTAACTTCCACATTAGCTACTGGACCCGTATTTCCAAGTTGCATGATTTCTAAGATAACCAGAACTTGCCAAATCTTGAATGAAGCATCAGTAGGAAGCTTGCTTAATACTCCAATTACTATAAGCAATCACATGCACGAGCTTCCTCATATTTTAAGCGTAGCCCTTTTTTTGGAAATCAAACCCAAGCTTTTGCAATTCCACTGGACGACTTCGGAGATGGAGCAAAAGAAGTAATGCTCCACTTTCTCAAATCGCTCAAACGTTTAAAGGAACCAGCCATGTTTGGAAATAA